TATATTTTACCCAATGACACCAAAATTGTCAAAGGAGGAATATAACAAAAAAAAAGCTAAAAAATATTTCACAATACTTATTCGTCAGCCGTTTATATGTACAGTGGAATGCAACCGGCATAAATATCAACCAATCATTGTGCCCAATTATTATGGAATGCGTCATGAATGCTGATGCTCCGACAGGACTGCATGAGCGGGCATTTTGATGAATTATTTAATTCATTGTACGTTGACAATGTGAGGATGCCTTTATTTATAAAGACAAATTATGAAAAAAACGCAGTTGTTTTTTATACGTTTATCGCAATAGTTTAATAATATCCTTTACAACCATTGACTTACAAATAAATGGACGACGGGTCTAATACAAAAACCACGAAAAAAATGTCCCAAGTCAACCTATTCGAAATTTAAATTGTTATGTCATCGCAGTATCGCGCTGTCAGTAGAACAAATGAAGACTAAAGCGGAGTGTCGCGCTCTGTATACGATTTTAGCGCCTTACAAGTGCGGACACTTTTTAGCGCGGACCCGACGTCCATATAATTGTAAGTCAATGTTTACAACACTAACTTTCATTCATTCATTCATTATCATTAATCTTAATGTATGTAGGTAGATACACAAGCCAAGCAATGTAAACCGCTTATAAATATTTGTTTTTCAAACAAACCAACATAAAACTGACTGTAAAAAATAGTTACAATATCCAATGAGTAACAATGGCTATATTTAAGTAAAAATTATTATTTTATTTAAATATAGCTTTTCAAGTCCTTAAAACCATGTTTACATGTAATTAAAAAAAATGGGACTACATGTCAAATCAGAACTCGTGACGTCATTGGTAATAAATGGTTGCGAAAATTGTGCATATTGATTGACTGCTGCCCACAATCCAAAATGTCTGCCGTTTTCTTAGTTAATAAGTAATTAAACGGAGAAAAAACGTAGGATAACGAGCGGTGGATAAGGGTGCCGTTTGTTAGCTTACTTACGTATGACGTCATGTGGAGTGTTTGGTGTTTGGATAACAGAATAAAAATATTACAACTTTCAGATTAAAGAATACAAATCATTTCACAAAATTATTAATTAAATGATCGTTATTCTTGTACAAAACATTCTTTCTAACATTCAAATATTTTTCTGTTTATCGTCCGATTGCCTACTTTGGCGAATATGAATCACGATCAAACTATATTGAGAATCTAAATTCGAATTCTACATCTATTTATACAATCTTTTTTCCCGCCACAATTATATGTTAAGTACATTCTAGACAGAAGACGATGTGGAAGTAAAGAAATTAACGTTTTACAGTTACATGTATCATTGTAACGTAATTCAAACGAAATTTTAATAGAAATATATTTATTGTAATCATAAAATACTTTCCAAAAAATAATCTTTGTTGACAAATGTAGAGCGGATAAAATATTTATATATAATATCTGCCTATGTTCCCAGGAACAATTTCACTGTAATTTCGTTACGTGTTTACAATGCGCAAAACTGTATAACATTTTCGTGTAGTAAATTTACGAACGATGTCAAAGAGTAGTCAACAAAACAAAATAATGTTTATAGGTTATTTATTACCCTACAGAGGAAGTAGGACTTAAACAAGGATACAGAATTCACATTTATTATTGCCGAAGGATGGATGTCTTCTTGCTCACATGAGGAAAAATGGTCTTAAATATTCGCAACCGGGAAACCAAGGAATTGGGAACTGGGACAATGAATCTTCTTGGGGATCTTGGAAAACAGATGCTGGATACCAGGATATGGATTTTCCGTCATTGTGTTTTTTCTAGTTACCAACATAAAAATAAAATATTAGTTAATATATGATTTTGGTTATAGATTTCTTTTAAGAAGATAAATAAGAGACCATAGACCATACTGTTTCAATGTGGGTTGATAACTTCGAATAGGTCCTGGGCTCGATTTCCGGTACGACCAATTTCTGAAACAAGCTTTTTAATGGGTCTTGGTCTGTGTGTTCTGGACTTATTCTCGTTGCTCTGTCATAGTACAGTGAACTTTGTACTCAGAAACCAGGTAATTCGGTGCAGTTGTGTGGGACATTGTTATTAATAAAAGAAACTTGTTAATTTACTTGCAAATAACTAGAGTTTATAGTTAACCTATTGGTCTAATGTATGCACTGTACTTTGACAAAACCTGCATTCAGATGTGGGATGTAAACAATTAAAGGGATTTAATTAAATATTCCCAATTTGAATAGTAATACTGTAATTGATTTTGTGCTCTAAATTGAAAAGCATTATCTTGGAAATACTGATTATCATTTAAATGTTTTGTTTCAAATGGAATTTTAATAATGTAATTCTTTTTACTACATATTTAATCATTTTTTCAAGAGTGTAATTATTTAATGTACAATACGAGGCATTGTGGTAAAAAGTACGCATATACAGTCAACCCAAAAGTAAATTGTACTAAGGTCATAAATCTCCCCTAATCTATTATAATGAATCACTAATATAAAATGCATACTTTTTGGTAAGTGTGTACCTACTGTACTAACCCATATCGTCGCCTTACTTTCTGAAACTCGTATCTTAAATCACAAAGATACTGAAATGCAAAAAATGGATTGTATGTACAACGTTTGCATGCTGGTTTCACATAATATCTCCTTCATATTCACACACTGGCTTTTACATATTCTTAAAGTAATACATACAAATTAACACCCTTGATAAGAAATTTAAAATAAATAGAAAGTTTTGCCATCTCCTAAATAATGGTCTTTATAAAATAAGAGTTTGGGAAAGTAAGACATGGATATGTAATATTAACTGGTATTGGTACCTACATTATCTGTCAGAACCCAGTCTATAGTATAAAAGCGAATATTGAGGATTTGGAGATAGCTACAAATATGTTCTATCTCCAATTTGGAAGCCGTGTTATGTGGGTAGGTATTTAATCCAAATACAATTTTATAAAGAAGTTTTTATTACACGTAAAAAGCAGTCTATTCACTCCTACGTCGTTAAGGTACAGCCAATAGACAAGATTTAATCTTATTCATTGTGAGATAAAAACTATTTCCACGTAATAATATTCTATAAATGTTTTGTACCGCCGCCGGTATATGAATGTTTAATATTAAAGTTATAGCTAAGATTCAAGCTTGGCCATGTCATAAGAATTTTAATTATGTATAGTTGCAATAGGTAACCAAAGAGGTCCATTTATAAGTAAGATGCTACCTACCGGCTAAATGAGATCGGAGCTTAGGTTGTGGTCAGTTCATTGACCGTCAAAAAAATAAAAAAGAGCTACATTTTGTACGTACATGAGCTCGCTACAATGAGATATATGTATATTTACTCACTATACGGTCAAAATCAACAAGTTAAGAAGCTGACTATAGGATATATACTGAAAACTTTTATCACGATTTGAACATGCGCGTTAGAGCTTTTACAAAGTAAACAAAGCTCGAGTTTCAGAAAGTTTACACAACTAAAAGTGCTGAAATTACAAAACAAACTCACCTTCAAAGATGGATAGCCGTTTCAAATCCAAATTCAGCTTACAAAGACACAATCCACTTAGATTTTATACACAACATTCCTGAGCAAAACACTTGCTTGAAACTAGTAGCTTCACTCACAATCGTTGTCACACTTTTTAAGTAGAAATCTAACTTAAACTTGGCACAAACACACTTAGGTACACTTAGACAGTACTCTAGTTTACTTTTTCACATAAGTTACAGTCAATTGTCACGATTATCACAATATAAACTTAAAAAACTGTCGTAAACAACCGGAGCAACACTCAGCACGCGACAGCCATCTTCTGCCAACGCGAAGATTGAGATAAAATTCACTAGAGGGCAGTGTTTAACATGGAACAAAAATAACCTAAAATTTTCAATACAATGTTTCATCGTAAGTCCCCTAATTAAAACAAATAAATTTATATAAGAAATGCAAACAGCATAAATTACAAATAATTTCAATTTCACCACTAAATTCGGTGATGTTCTAAGATACAATAATTAATATTTTGCCTAAAATAATGTTTTGTTTCAGAAATGGTAACACTTATATGTTTACATTACCCTTACTACAGGTTTTCTACTAACTTAGCGGTTTTTGTGTTTTATTTTAAGTACTTAGCATTTTAAATGTACGGTTATTTTATAACTTTTAAAATATGCCAAATATTTATTAAAAATTGCTTGCTTTACAAATGGTATCAAGGACCAGGTAGTGCTACAAAAGCACAAAATATTCAATACGCATTTCGTACTTTTTGCAGAAATAGTTACGGTAAGAAGCATCACTCAATCTAAAAATGTCAAAAGAAAAAGCTTTTTACTCAAAAGCTGTGTGCGGTGCTAGTGTTCTACAATTGTTTTTAGGTAATTCAGGATAAATATTCTTATGGTGACCTATTTTGCTACAAAAATACCACGCAAAAGCGATATCACACTTTTATTTAAATGTTAACTATGAATTTTGGTGGAGTATTGGCGAGTGTGTTTTGTTTTCTTGCCTCGTAACTTTTGTTTTTGTTTGAAGAGTACGTAATAATTAATAATGTTTGACATAATAGCGATTGAGATGATTTTATCGGAACTTTTACACAGTGATCAGTCTACACATCATATTTGTTTACTAGCCTGGACATAGACAAAATTGTTAGTTTCGTGTTAGGTTGTTCTCATTACGGCCAGTAGACGCTTACTGTAGAAATGGAATGAATGAAGTTAGCCTCACTTAATTCAAAAGCATCTTCAGTTTATTATTTTATCCTTTTTGAGTACCAGTTCAAGTCTGCGTAAATGGGCTGATCCCTGGAATAAGTTCCTTGTGCAGGCTTGCTTGCACAGGCAATTGCCCTTCCTATATACTCAAGAGGTTAGTAGCAGTAGAGCTCCTTATGACATAGCAGTAAAGCTCTTTCTAAAAGAGTTTACCCAAGGAAGTACTGCCACCTTAACTATTCCAGCCGCCAAGCGGTACTGTGAGTATTTCTGCATTCCGATTTTGAAGGATAAGGTATCCGGTGAAATTATAGGCACATGGACTTGTCACCTTACGTCTCAGGGTGTTGAGTGCAGTGGCAGTGCCCCTCAGATCTTTTTGATTGAAAGCTCTGAGTGATACTGCGACTGTTATGGACAGGCGTGTCGCTTATCCTCAGGCGCACAACTTTGTTCGACCCGTCACTTAGTTTTTATTAAAAAAGGGGTTGATAAGGACTGGCCACTATAAACAAAACTTAAGTAGAGAGATTGAGAAGCTCTAGCACTGGACAGAAATAGCATTAGAGTAGTCAGCATCCTAGCTTTGACGTGGACAAGCACATGTCAAATCTTGGGCAGAAAGGAGAGTAGATTCTACCACGCGGCGGATAGAACTCCTCTACACCTTCTTACCCAATATTACCCATAGATGGGCAATACAATACATTAAAACAGTCAAAGTCTAGCGAATCCTTCAGTTCTTTACCACTGTTGGCCTTGACTCTGAATTGTAATTAGTGGTGATCATAATAGATCAGTTAGTGGTTTGTAATCTGTATTTGAAAAAGTTTTAGTATTTGCCAAACTTTGATTTAATCAATATTATATTATTATTCTGTTACAATTTTTTAATTTTCAACTGTTTCAACTTCATCACTAAATGTAAAAAAAAATCATTTTGTTTAATTTACATTTTTTGGTTAAGTAAGGCTTTACTAAGTCAATGTTTAAAGATGTTACTTTAAATTTATTTTTAAAAGATTGCTACTTTAAACTTCATTCTTATCTATTTCAATATAAACATTAGCAATATACAGGATTATTCTTGCTCTCTTATTTTGCTTCCTTTATACAATAAAGTAGTAGTGCAGAATAATACCATTTTGAACTAAGCATACGTCAAAAAAGTTTTAAGAACTAAGAAGTTAAACACGATAAAGTTTTGCTTGCTCTTCTGATTGCTTAGTTCAAAATAGTAGTATTCTTCAATACTGCTTTATTATAGTAGCTATTTGTTATGCGTGATTTAGTAGCATCAGAGCTCTTTGTGAAAGAATTCATCCATGAAAGTACTGCCACCTTACCTATTTCTTCTGTCAAGATTCCCGTTTTGAAGGGTAAGGGTGCTGGTGATATTGCAAGCACATGGCACTTATCAACGTATGTCTCAGGGTGACGGATACTTTGGCAGTACCCAAATCTTTGCAATTTGCTCTGAGTGGCATTGCATCTGTTACGGATACGCTCGTCGCTTCCTACCAGCACAACTTGTAGATCCCGTCGCTTGACACCATAAATAAAAGGAGTTCAATGATACGCGTGGAAACATACTGTCAATTTATTTAAGAATTGTTAAGCAATATTATTATATTGTATGTAATTAAGACCGCGCGTGCGTAAGAAGCTCTTACTGCAGAGTACGTTGAAATATTGCTTAATTTGCCTACTGCAACGTAGTCTTCGACTGTACCACTTGTAAATGGAAACTGATATTGATCCATATGTTTAAGGGCACTCAAAATTAAAACATGTTGATATTATAGTATTAAAGCATTGGAAGTTTTTAGGAGTTTTTTGAGTTGAACAAATTTAGCTGTCTAAGGCTCAATTTTCATTACCGCGGAATGGAATGGAAGCTTATTTTGGTAATTAAATTGTACATAGCATAATAAACTTTATGTCAATTATGTAAAGTAGGTACTTACAAAGCAGATACGATACAATTAATGTAATTACATAATTAAGTAGTAAGACGCGCGACCTGTTTTTTAATTCGTATCTAGTTTGTACGGTACACAATTACATAAAGTTCATTATGCTATGGTTACAAAAGTTCACTTCCAATCCTTTCCGCAGAAATGAAAATAGGGTCTTAAAGTATTTTAAATTTTTCTGGCGGAAATCTTTCATTTGAAGCTACTTGTATTTGGTAGTGCCCTAGAGTGAATTGTGTTGCTCTGGTACTCATAGTACCAGGTAATTAGTATGATCTAGCGGTCTGCTACATTATTATTATTATTTTCTTTCTAGGGCATTCCGTGGAGTGTGTCGACAGCGATGTCTTGAGCTCAAAACAAGCCTTACCTAAAGCGGCAGGGTTTTTTGGAAGATGTGTTATAAATAAAAAGCGAAAAAGGTTGACGACCACAGGGAAATGGAAACTCATAACTTAGGGAAGGGGTAAGTTAAAACATTTTTTTAAATCGTGTCCGAGTTCTTTTTTTATCGCGCCTGATAGAAAATATCAAAGCAGTACATGGCTTCAGTCATCATTGTCTATGTATATTAGTTGAAAGAGAAATTTTTCTGAAATAAAGAAGAGCACATCTATTGATATTTAATTTTGATATTAACGAACTGCTGTTTTCGACTTCTGCGTTCATTTTTTCCCGTTCGATCCTTGTTTTTTTTCGAGTTAAAATGTTTTAACGTCTGTGTGTTGTTGTTCTTTCAATTATTTATTAAATAATATTAGTGTTATTAATTTCAGGTACGAAAATGTTTTGTTGAAAATTGAGCCCGGTTTGATGGAAGCGATGATGGAAAACCTACTTAACATGAGTTGGCGAAAAAGGCCTATTGAAAATGATGACACAAAAGCTCTATCTGTCCAAAATACAAATCTCATTATGAAACAAAATATATTGATGAGCTGTCAAAAAATATAAGCGTTTGCTAGCTACCACGTTACTACTGCAACTTAAGTCTGATTCGGACTATATTAGTAATTTAGTCAAGTCGCAATTAATTTAATAACTATACGTGTCTGAGCAACAAAATTGAGTGATGTAGTCGAATCGATCTGTTATTGAAAATTTTCGGGTGGTAACGATTCTGAATACGTTTGACTACATTATTCATACACTAAACGAGTGAAACCCGTTAATTTAGTCAAGTTCATTAGTTGCCGCAAAAATGTCATGTTGAAGCGAAGATACAACTTAGTTGCGATATAATTACAACATGAGTGAATTAGATTTAGTCGCCTAGTTCATCTCTTATTATTAATCCATTCTTGTACTACAGTACCGTACCATCTATTTTGGTCGTTGATTTTAAAATTATAGTTCTTTTTTTCATTTATCACTGCATCTTTCAAGTAAGGAAATTAAATGAATGTGAACTGTAAAAAAATGGGGTTTAACTTTTAAACAATCATCCATTTTTAATGGGTCTAATTAAGAAATAGTACCACCTGCATTTTGACCAACCCTGCTTGTACAATGTAGTCGTAGTAGTCTGGTATAAATTTTTAAATAATACATTTTTAATAATAAGTGTTTTTTTTTTAATTTATATTTCATATTCTACCGCTTACCTTCACGACAGTGTGCGGAGTTCATTACAACCCGTACAGATTACAATCTTTTTAATCATTAGGTTACTATAAAGTCCATTTGTTTAGGTTAACTAAATTAAACTTAACTAAATGTAAACAATCTTCAGACGTCTATTTAATGAAATACACATTTATAAAATTATTTTTACTTACCTTCAAATGCAAATACTTAGCTTCATATGAAATTCCATGCCTATTTTATACCTATTGATTTGTAAAGTATACGTTTCAATAAAAAGATGTATCAAGATTGTTTACATTTAGTTAAGTACCTTTTATTTTTTTTTACGGGGGGGGGGGGGGGGGAAATCTTCAAAAAATCGACTAGTGATGATTACATCACTAATATCTTAGTAAAGTAGAGCTTGTGAAAGAGTTCGTCCAAGGAAGTACTGCTGCTTTCCGATTTTGAAGGGTAAGGGTGCTGGTGAAATTAAGACACATGGGACTTGTCAACTTATGTCTCAGGGTGACAGGCGCAGTGGTAATGTCCCTCAGACCCATGCGATTTAAAGCCCCGAGCCACATTGCAATTGTTACGAACAGGCATGTCGCTTAACTTAGGCGCGCGACTTGCTCGTACCATCACTTGGTGTCGTAATAAAAAATCTTGTCTAGCATAATATCGTCATCGAATCACGTAGTTTTTTAACTAATATAACAATGTGTTATTTCAACTAATTCAATTAATCAAGTCGAATCATTCGATTAAGTAATTGATTTATTATCACCCACTAAACAGTCTATGAGCGAGTCAATTATCTGTTTGTGTTCTACATTTTCAATGAAATGGATTGAAACCACAGAAATCGTGATTGAAATGGACTATAAATAGGATCGCATCAACGTGCTGCAATTTATTATCAACTATGACACTGCCTTTATCGAACGAAAACTAGAGATACCATGTTAAGGAATTCAGTGACCAAATGGCGGATGAAGAGGTTCCTGGTTCGATTCCCGGTAGGACCAATTTAGGAAAGAACATTTAGTTAAGTACCTTTTTTTTTAAGGGGGTAATCTTAAACAAATCGACCAATGATGATTACATCACGCATTACATACGTGAGCACGGATTCGAACCCATGGCTTCTGCTTGAAGGGCGATACGTCAAACCATTAGACTACCACGCCTTTAACAAAGATAGGTAACAGTTCGACAGAACTACTGGGAAGAGATCAATGCTCGGCATTTCTCTACGTGATCGAATCAGAGAAGAACGAAAGTCACCAGACTTACAACAGACGTACAATCCTTCGAGCTGTCGGTACAGCTCAAAGGATTAGCAAGTTGAAGTGGCAGTGGGCAGGGCACATAGCTCGCAGAACTGAATGCTGTTGAGGCAGGAAGGTTCTCGAATGGAGACCACGAACTGAAAGGCGTTCAGTGGGACGGCCCTCTACTAGTTGGATGGATGACATGGTAAGGGCGGCGGTAACCGATGGATGCACGTCGCGCCCGACCGGCTAGTCTGGCAATCCTTGGGGGCGGCCTATGTTCAGCAGTGCACATCTTCCGGCTGATGATGATGATGACTGGGAATCGTAAATCCCATTTGTTCAGCTAACTATTATAATTGTTGTGTAAAAATACCAGTAAGTAATTCTGTCAACAGAACTAGTGGGAGTACATGTGAATGTTTACAGATTGGCCATTAAACAATAGGTAGGTAAATGTAATGAACTATTTTGTCAGCCGTGGCCATGGGACCTGTACGTCTCAATTTAGGTACATTGCCGTGGGGAATGGAAGCGTCAATTTTACCTCATTGGGCGAGAAGGCGCGCGCAGTAGCTGAGGTGTTCGAGCTTTCGCTAGCTTTGTCGCAACAGCGGCTTAAGGCTGCAATATTTCGTCGACGTTTGACGTCACACTGATTCACCAGGCGTCGCCGATAGCAGCTGCGGAATACTCGCGAGCATTCTCGTCGCAAGAATTCCGCGGAAGACGCGTGACGTGATTTTCGGCACGTACCTAGTTTGTACTTTATATAATTTATCATAAAGTTCATTATGCTATGTACAATTTCGTTACAAAAGTTCGCTGCCATTCCGTTCCGCCGCAATATACATTGAGCGTTAAGGGTCCGACTCGTTGGTTTGTTTGAAAAAAAAAACGAATACGCGATTTAGATCCGAAAAAACCTAATAACTCGAAATGTTTACAGATTTTGTCAATAAATTATGTAGATAAACGCCTTATCTGCTACATTAGCTAGAAAACTGTTTCTTGTAGAAGTCTGCTTTCGAATCACTTAATATAATAACACAACATTGTTGCAATTTCATAGAAGAGAGAAAACACAATGTTGACAGCGAAAATTGAAAGAAGGTCACTGTTTTAAGTTTGTTATTTGCAGAATGCAAAATTTGTAACCCGTTTTATTTTTATATAAGTATGACATTATTATTCATATTGACGAAATAATTTGTGAAACATAGATGATACCACGTGCCTAAGTACGGCACGCTGTAAAAATTTTTATTGTTGAGTAGGTATTTAATTGGGCAGCGCTTATAACTTAAAATTAAAAGCGTAGTTGTGTATAATTTTTTTAACGTGCTTTTCGTCTAATGATGAGCAACTACTCGCATTAGTTTTCCTTCTTTCTGAAACGTTCCAGATGCCTGGTTCTCTTATACAATGGTAAGTTCTGCCTTACAAGTTTTTCTGAACAAATCTACTTGAAATAATAAGTTTTACAGGCGAAAACTTTTAAAAACCAATAACCAAAACAATTTCAACAGAATATTGCAATTGGAAAATTGTATTAAAACTCAAATGGACTTTGCAAGTTTTGCAACCACTCGGGAAGTGCGAAAACTTCAAACCCCCGGGACAAATGTTTGGAACTAAAATGGTGCTGTGTTACAAATTGGTGTTGGCGAACTATGATTAGTTATTATATTACATTGTTATAGGAAACTCGTTTCCGTTCTCAAGTTTTCGATATGACGTCTATAAAGTTTGCGGGTACATTGTAAACGTTGCAAACGTATTATTGTAGACCGAGACACATTTACACGCAGCCTGTCGAAGGACAACATCACACTAGCTGAACTGTCATCATTGTGTAAACTTTCGAGATATTATTGGCATCCTAAACTACTTTTTCTTTGAAAAATTTCAATTACTCTAATTTCACTTGACAACAAAACTAAATGTATTGTTGAGATTTTTTTGAACGTAATAAAAGTACTAACGAAACAATGAGTCCTAAATCCATTTAATTTTCACAATACAAGAAAGGTACAATAAAAGCTTAAATATTAGAGGGAACTGTAAAGGGCCCGAAACGTAGGTTTGTTTGAAAAAACAAATACGCGATTTAAATCCAGAAAAATAGTTTCATTTCCTATGTAACAATCGCGAAAACCTAAGATCTCGATAAGTAAAACTAGGATTTAATTATATGAATAAAATTGGGTCCCCACGGCAAGGTGCCCAAGATGCTGGCAGCGTTCCTCCTTTGTATGGCTATGCTAATGCGTTGGGCAAGGTAGCTGCCAGCCCTTGAGTTTCCCAGACAATCTATTAATTACGGAACAATTATATATATTTTGTTGGACGTCTGAACCTAGGCTCACGGCCTGCATTACGTAGATAAATACATATTTCATATTATAATACCTAAGATATTGAAGGATGAAATCGTCTGCTTACAGGTTTTTTTTAATTATGATAAGCTGACCTGATGATAAGCTACACGCCAATCCATAACAGTTTCAGAGCCACTTAGTTCTTTAAATCGCAAAGATCTGAGGCGCACTGCCACTGCGCCCGGCACCCTGAGACATAGGTACCTAAGTTGACAATTCCCATGTGCCTGTAATTTCATCAGCACCTTTACCGTTCAAAACCGGAAGACAGTAATGCTGACATTACTGTTTGGCGGCAGAAATAGATAAGGTGGCAGTACTTCCCTGGACGAACTTCTTCACAAGGAGCTCTACTGCTACTACAAAAAAAATCACATGTGTGACATTTTCCACAAAAAGTTAGCTATGATAAGAAAATCACTATGTTTCTGCACGTGAAGCTGAATAACACAAAAGCTATAAACTTAATAAGAGTTTTATCTGCACAAAGATGGTGAATTTCTCATAATTGGTACATAATTTGTAGATTTTTTGTGAAAAATGTCACTTACTGATCTTACCTTTAAGCAGACGAAATTATGGCTAAATAATGACCTCCCATTTTGACGTAGCAGTTAATTTATTACTTAAATATTTACTTTCATGAACAGTAATATCAGGGCTCCGTCTTTCGGTCAAGGTTAGTATACGCGATAACTGCCTACCGCTGAGTGTACCGACGTCGGCAGAAGTGCTCATCCAAGTCTTTTATTTATGGGCATTGGGCTCCGCACGGCTGCATACGGCGGGCAACGCTATTTTCACCACTCTGACCGCGTGCTTAGGTACCTTTTTGCTCACATTGAGCGATTGATGTCATTAGTTAAATTTAATAGTCTATTATAGCGTAGATTTTGTATGAGAGTGATGTACCTGTTACGTAATAACTATTAAGTAATTTGTCGTAATACGATGTGCATTTCGAAGTCTGACCGCATGGAAAATGAAGGAATGAGAATATAAACCGGAATTGAAGGTTTTAAAATGTTTCTATTTGTACACGCATAAGTTGGACAAGACAGATAACTAATACCTTGAACATGTCTGTACTCGCACTAGAAGCTTGAAGTTCGATAATTCAATGCCACAACTAGTTAGGAATGGACAAACGATCCGAAGTTGAATCCGAACTTTCGTTCAGTCGTTACTAGTTTATGGACAAAACCGTAACTTGGACGATGTCGATCCAGTACCATCCTTATGCGTGGGCCCTCGATCGATGGACTCCCTA